TTTAATTAAGATAAAAGAACTTAAACTAAAGAATTTTGACTATGCCACTACATGTCTCTGTATGTCCTGGGCATATATAATTTTTATCACCAGAAAACAACAATAAGCATAATAATAATATTAAAAAACCCACAATTATTCATTCTTTAAAACATGAAGGTATCTGCCCTGGCTACTCAGATTTGATAGTTGTCTATGTCACATATTAAAATCTATTAAAGAGTCACCTGTTGTAATGCAGCTGCTGCAGCTGCGGCTTGTTGCTGCAACGCTGCAGTTTGAGTTAACTGATAGTTTGCTGGGGTTTGTGTGGTAAGGCCTGCTGCTGCCAATGCAGTCTGCTGTGTATAAATGGTAGGAGATGCTCCAAGGAGTGATGGCTGCTGAACACCCAATGCAGCTAAAATGAGATTAAAAAGGGGGGGGGGGGAACAAGATTATTTGGATCCTTTCCAGGAATTTTCAGTGAATGCTTAGATATGCATTATGGTCTGCCATTGCTTAGTAAAAACCCAAAGAAAAATTTCAGTAATGTTTGTCAAATTTAACTGATTCATGTCCCACCTTAGATCCTAATGACTTTATATTAAATGTTCAAGTTATGATAGATATAAGAATAAATATTAATCTATAAAATTAAACTACAGAATGAACCCCACCAACCTTACCTAGGCCAAGAGGTTAAAGTACCCTTGAGAAATATTTAGGAAGTTTTTAGTAAGAAAAGAAAATAAATCATCTTATTTTACTAATCTAGAATGTATTTTTTATCGTCAAACAGATTAGAATCACACATTAAAGACAGTGTTGCTGGAAGTGATCCATATTTAAAACATCCTACTGGCCAAATGTTCATGTACTTCTACTTTGTATTAAAGAATTATAAAACTAGAAAACAATGGGAAAACAACTAGTTTCATATTTCACTTTTTCTTTTTTGGGAACCCTTTAAAAACACAAAGTTTTCAATTTTATTGCACCACTGTACTGAGTAATAAGAGATAAAATTAACCACAGTGACTTAAAGATCATTTGTTTAAGTCAAATAACTGGAGGGAGGGCTCAGAGAGATTTAGGCATTGAATGTTTAAGGTATGCTTAGAGGAGGTGAAAAGCTGAAGAGAACGTAAGATTTTTGATGCTGTTATGCAATTCTATTAAATGCAAAAAAAAAAAAAAAAGCAACCAACTAAAAATTACAGTCTAGTATTGTACTTCCCAAAACTGTATCTCCTGGAACAATAACTAGCTCTCCAGGACATTAAAGTTCGAAAAAAGGGGGCCCAAAGTTTTAAAAGTTTATGATACAGTGAATTAAGCACATATTTACTGCAGGATTTCTCAGAACCTTTAACACACCACTAAGCATCATGACTCTCAAAGAGGTCACCATAAAAGAAATATCTACTCATGTAACACTCCCTTTCCCAAAGCATTTTGCTTATATCTGAGACTAACTTGAAAAAATGCTTCTCTGTAATAGTTAATAACCCTATAGAAAGAACAATATTGTGCTTTACAGTAACAGAACAGAGAGCATTAATGAATTAACCAAAACATCTAGTCTAGAATCTCTCATAAATTCTTTAGAAATATGAGGTTCATCATCAATTAGCTGTTGAAGAGTTCACCTTAAAAATAGAACCAACAAAGTAGGGCAAAAAGAAAAAAAATTCCAGAAATCATGTTTAGAATTCTTCTAAATTACAAACTATTCCCTGCTAAAACATTGATTTTTAAAAATTAAAAAAGGATGAGAAAAATAAAGTATCTAAGATGGGAAAAAATCTTCTAAATGTCCTGAATACACAGTGCTAAACCTTTACAACATTAATCTTTTCTTCTCTCTTGTTTTTAAGGTAAGTCAAAGGCCAGAGATGGGCAGAAAGGAGAAATCAGGACTAACTAAATCAATTTAAACAGAAAGATGTGGGGGGATGTCTTAACATCATGTCAATTCAAAATAAGGTTAACTGCACAGAGAATAGAGAAAAAGGTGTGGAAATCTAGGGCACAGGTTCTAACCAGTAGATCTTGTTAACCTTCTGAAAACTGTATGAAAAATTACAGACAAGAAAGTTCAAACCTTTCATCAGATTTTCAAAAAGACTGCAGACCCCAAAAAAGGTTAAGAAACCACTGTTTTAGGATAACAAAAGCCAAAATTCTCATGTAAACACAAGACAAGGTAAGACCCTAGGAAAAATTCTTAGTATTTTAAATTCTCAGATTGGGATGTCCTATTTGACCAAAATTAACATCTTTTGATTCAAATATTGTACCCATCTCTTTCACCGACCTGAGCTTCCTCAGATCTGTTTCATTCTGCTGGTACCAATTACCAGAACAAACCACTGATAGCTGTTACAGCAGAAGGGCTAGGAGCTAGTATCTCAAGAAAGTCTATTTTTTTTCCTATAGCTTTTCTAGGTGTTCTAGAAGCTGACAATATACAGCAGCCCAGCATTAAGTAGGTGGGATGACAGGTGATACCTACAATCTCTTTTCCATTTCTGACAGTGTGATGAATTAGCAACTGCAAAACAGATTAATTGATATTTAAGGGCTCAACTACTTGCAGAAATTTGTGGGAAGGAAATTTACATTCTACTAGCTGCTTCACACCACTAGCTAGTGTTCTTTGTGTGTGGGGGAGAAGGTTAGACCTTTTTATTTTTTCAATTGAAGTATAGTTGATCTACAATGTTGTGGCCACTAGCTAGTTATTTAAAATTTTCGGAAATCACTGTACATGCGGTTGTGGCTTTTATACGTTTATAAATCATTTACATTTGAGATTTTAATCTCAATAAACTAAATTTCATTAACTTCTATTAATGTTCCTTTTTTGTGGATATCTGAGAAGCTACCCTTGAATACTTACATATAGCATTCTCCACTCTTCTTGTGAACTACTATAATCAATATTCTGCAAGATAATTCTATACGTTGCAAAGTACAAAGGTATTAAGCTCTGATTTAATCTTTCTCTCTACTTTAGTGGCCAAATAGTTAGAGATCTTTTCCAATTACCCACATTGGAACACTGTTGATTTATATGTACCTGATTCAATAATTGTTGAAGGTCTCATGACTCATCTGAAACAGAGATACTTGTAACTACATAACAATATTTCCACAGATAAACCTATGAAATGAGCCCTAAATGACTACAGGCTACCACAGGCAAAGTAAACTTAAGAGCTAAGTTTCCTTAAACCTTTAAGGACAAATGTAAAATAATTACTTTCCAAAATGTAAAATCAGTTTCACATGACTGAAGCATCCATGTTATGACATACTAGTAGTTATTATATACTGAATATCAGCAAACATACCATTAAAACACATAAGAGAAACTTGTCACTTGTCTGTTGCCCCTTTATCTTATCAAGCTCACTATTAAATCCAAAAATCCTTATTATCTTTACACCTATCTTTACTGAGGTGTGTTATTCTTCTGAAATGATAAAATTCAAAACACCTCAAACTGACCCGAGAAACTTCACTCCTTTTTTTAACCTTTTGCAAAATTATCTAAGGCACTGGTCACGCAATGCTTTATCCCTGGAAATTTCCACATATCAATATATGTTCAAAAGCAATCTTAAACTACTTACAGAGAAAAATAACATGAAGATATGGGGGATTCTTTTATAGCTTGTAGTTTTACTAACACTTATAAACCCAAGTTTTAAATCAAGTGAACTTCTAAAGTTTTCTAAATGTCATCTTCAGCTCAACATCCTTCTTAAGAAGTGATCTTTAAAGATTAGATTTCACACAAACACAAAACTCTTGATGCCCCCATGCAGATAACTCTTAAAATCAGACAACTCATTGGTCAATGTATTGTTGTGGTTTTTGAGACTCTATTCTAAGCCCATAATGTACCCAATGACTAGAATTATTCATTACCTTTTAAGAATTAGAAATTAAGGCATTAAGTGTAAGAAATTAAGTAGTGGGGTATATCTCAAAGTGGTAGATGCATGCTTAGCATGCACAAGGTCCTCCCCGGTACCTCCTCTAAAAAAAAGTTAATAAATGAGTAAACCCCTTACTCCCTTAAAAAATTTTTTTTAAATGTTTAAAAAAAGAATAAGAAATTAGAAAATAACAAACAAACAAACAAAATAATAAGAAATTAAGGGAGTCAAAGGCACAAACTTCCAGTTATAAGTAAGCCATGAGCATTTAAAAAAAAAATTAAGGCACAAAATAGTATTTTAAATACAATATATTCTAAGTATTGTAATCTTCTATACTATCCACATTGTTTGATACACTAGCCACTAGCCATATTGGCTATTTCAATTTAAATTAGTTAAAATTACATAAAATTAGAGAGTCAGTTTCTCAGTCACAGTAACCACATTTCAAGCGCTCAACAGCCACATGTCGCTAGTGGCTACGGTATCAGACAACGAAGGTAAGAATATATCTATCAGTCTAGAAAGTTCTTAGTAGACAGCTGTTCTACTGTAAGAAACAGGCAAATAAATCAGTGTTATATGGGGTTCTTATAGTCTCTATACCGATTAACACCCTAGCAGACAATAGCTACTTCATGTTCTTTTTTTTTTTTAATATTTTTAAATTTTATTTTTATTTTTGGAGGGAGGAGGTAATTGGGTTTATCTATTTCTTTCTTTTTTAAAGGAGGTACTGGGGATTGAACCCAGGACCTTATGTATGCTAAGCATGCACTCTACCACTGAGCTATACCTCCCCCTCTTTTCACACTCTTGAAGTCCCATGAAAGTGATGATTAGTGATCCTGGCCATAGTCTCTTCTAGCTACTATTTGACTAATTGTTAGTTGACCATCCCAGGAAGTTGAAGACACCATTCATGTAATGTCATATGATTTCTTCCATCCTTAACTGCCTCTGATATTTACTTAGTTTTCAATCCCATTTCTTTCAAGAAGTCATATCACACAAAAAAATGTTTTGGAGACAGTCTGCTATTATATAACGCTAGCAGTGTTTAAAGAGACTTAAGCCCACCCCAGCAGCAATCTTATTTTTCTACCAAATGTGTTGGAAACATCTAAATCCATCAGGAGATAACTAACTTAAGAATACACACACCGTCAGCTATTATTTGTTTGAAAAAGACCACGGATCTTGCAATTTAACAATCTTGAGCTTCTGATTCATGAGACTGGGGTTTTAAAAGACAACCATTGGGCCAGACTGAAGAGGTAGGAAAAATGAAGTCACATTTAGAACAATTTTATTGGTGGGGAGGGTATAGCTCAGTGGTAGAGTGCATGCTTAGCATACATGAGGTGATGGGTTTGATCCCCAGTACCTCCATTAAATAAAAAATAACAAACAAATAAAACTACCCCACCAAAAAAACCCCAAAACAACAACAAAAAACACAATTGTATTGGTATTCGCTTCAGTCACCTGTATTAAACCACCACACATTACTATAGTAAAGTGGACTAGCTCACTTTTTGTCTATAGCCAGAATGCAGTCATCATACAGTCAAAGAAATGGGTGAGAAGAGGTCTAAATTGGCCAAATCCATCCAAACATTTTAATATTGTTGCAATTATATACATAAGCAAATATTTTGAGTCAAATACACTCAAGACACTCCTAAGTCAATATAATTCATCTACGGGCTATTTAAAGATTCAATCAGTGATTTGCCAGCTATCCCTTTCAATGTCTCTTTACAGAATAGAAAATTGTTAAAAACTCTCAAACCTAAAAGCTCTGGTCCCAAGTATGACTGTCACTGAATATGTACCACTTCAGCAAGGAGATGGGAAAATAGGATTAAATATTAAAAACAAGTTATTTCGGTGGAGGAGATATAAGAAATGGGGCTGGAAATACAGAAGATCTTGCATACCATCACAAGGAGTTTGAAATGTATTCTTAAAGTCCCTGAAGACATTTTTGAGGATAAATAAAATAGAGTAATGGAAGAAATAATGAACCACAATTCGGAGGTTCTAACATTGGACTCTTCTGTGACGTTCTGCTGAGACCTAAACAAATTTCTTTACTTTTCTTGGCCTCAAACCTTCATCTGTTAGAGAAAGGAGTTGAGACAGAATCTAGCTCAGACTCCATCCAGCTTTGGAAAGTTCTGTAATTTACATAGAAGTCATGCTTTAGGATCATCACATCTCAGAGATACACTGGAATTCAGGGAGAAATTAAAAGTAGCAGATCTAGTAGGTTAAGAGAAGCAACCAAATAAAAGCAGTTAGAACTTAATAAAGGACAATAAATACAGAGCACCACTAAGTGACAGACGGGAAAAAGAGCATCCTAACTTAAGTGAGTGATTTATGGTAAGCATTATGGATTAGGATATAAAGGTTTGGGAAGGGTATGAGAGGGCCTGAAAGCTAGGTGAGACTTTGGCATAGGATCTGGAAGCAAGAGAAACCTGCTACTGATGTAGTTATCCAAAGGTAAAGTGTAGAGAGCCTAAATGTAAAATAGAGGACTATATTTGAGGCATTTTCAAAAGGGGAAAAAGTCAATGTTTGATATATGATTGAATATGGGAAATGAAGGAAAAGGAAATTAAAGATGACAGATGATGAAATTACTAACTTACCCTTAATTGAACAGACAGCATTAAAATTAATCAGAAACAATTCAAATACTAATCTTTAATTTTACAAGATTTCACCAATAAACTGCTAGTATGCATGCTTCTACTGAAGTTTTTAATCTTATTTTAAATGTCATCTCTGTGAATGCACTGAATTTTTCAAATCATTGTTAGCTGAGAAATTTCAGCATTAGTACAAATGCAAAATAATCCTGCTAAAAATGGATCAGCAAAGCCATTAACTGAACAAAACCATCTTAAGTTATATACAAAAAGGAAATAGTGGTAGTTTTTATATTGCTCTCAGAAGAAAGTGAATCAGATACATAGAAACAAAGATCAAACACTTCATTTGAGCTGAATTATCCCATTAACCTTTTTCTGTTGCATGGTCATTTGATTTATGACAGTAGCCTCTGATACTAACATTATCTGGCATATTTCAATGTATGTATTTCTTTTTTAACTAGAGTAAAACAGGCACCTACACTATTACTCTAAGTCATTTTAATGACCTTCGCTGAAATTTTTTCTCAAATTGTATTTGAAGCTGCCAGAGAAACATTCAGGTGTTGCATCCTTAGGTTAAAATGTTCTCCATTGAGATAAGATGTAAATAAGACATTTTACTTGCTTAAAGATTGAAAAAAATTAACTTTGACAGAAATTTGCTTTGCTCTGAGAATCACCTCTAATAAGATTACTAAGTAGTCATTTAAAGAGGGCTTTAAATGAAGACAAGAAAATATCAAGCTTTCAGGAGAAAGCTCAAAATATAGCCCCTAGAAATTAAATATTTTAATAAAAACATTGTCATTAGAGTTCTTAGAAGCTACTCCAGGATTTTTATAGGAAAGCTGAACATAGATGCTAACAAAATACTTGTCTACTTACTGAAATGATGATGCATCAATTAAATTTTAGATTTTGAAAAACTAGGATTAATGATAGGTTTAAGAAAAAAAAAATTTCCTGCAGCACAAATACAAGCTCTGTTTACACAAAACCATTATTTACGTTTGGACTCTCTATTGCCAAATATGGAAAAGGAGACCAATATATAATACCTACTTTGACAAGTTCTTAAACCATGGGTGTCTCCTATGTTCAGTTTTAAAATAAAAAAAAGTAGTGTATACTTAAGTAGTTACAAATGTTAAGAGCTATCAACAATAGAATTTCACTATAACAGCTATTTTATTGGAACGAATTTAAAACAAATTATAAGCAGAAAAAAAACAGGTAAACATGCTTAGTTTACCAAAATAACAGTACACAGCACTTGCTTCTAGACACACAGTAGTTGCTAATAATTCCTGTTTCTTCAAAACCAACTTATCATTAGGGTCCCCACTATTTAACAGAGGAGAAATACTTGAATCTGAATTAAACATAAACTGTAACTATTATTTCATATTATTTTCAGTTATCTGCATAAGTAACTTCATCATTTAACCCCTCAAACCAAGAGTAAGTAAAATAAAAACCGTGAATTATCCTTTTTTTTAAAGAGAAAGGTCATCTACATAACTAGACAATCATGTCTATCAAATTTATAACACCACAATTGGAAGATCACAGTATATCTGCAAATGATCTCGAATTACAAAATTTTAAGTAAACTGCCGCCAAGAATTAGTATATGCCATAAATAAAAATTCATTCAAATTAACAGAATAAGCTGCAACTTTTTTAGGAACTCAAACTCAAAATCTGATTCTGTAAGCTCCTTGGGAAGCTTGTTTAAAGATTCAAATCATAACCAAGAAATGGTAAAAAAAAAAAATTCCTAAGAGCAATGGGAAGAAACATTGAAACAAAACACTTTCAACAATATATTGTTATTTTTATTTTGAAAACGTAATCATTTGCTCCTTTTACATCTATTTATTCTTTCTTTGCTTGATGAATCCTTTAGAGCTGGTTTTTCTACTTTAAATAACTGAAAATCGGTCATGTATAATTTTTCATAAGGTATGGATTAATACATTTATTTTAAAATATGACTATGAATACTGACACCTTAACATGTCAACTGACGTAAACTCTAATGAATGGCTGCTAACCTCTAACATAATTAAACCAAATAAAAGTTAATCAATTTAATGTTTGAAAAACTATATAAAACTGTCCAAACTGCTGTTTGGACTGCTGTGTAAAACAGATTTTTTTGCTTGTTGAGCCATGAATTTTTAAAAGCTTCACAGATAAGCTTAAAAGATACACCATTTGCAAACTTCTTACAATTATGCATAGCCTTATTCACAGTTAGAACATGTCCCGCAGCCCCACAGTTTATAGTACATGTGTTCATAAGTCTGACCTGGCTGAGATACCGCAGTGGCTGTAAACTGAGTAGCCCATGGCGGATTCTTCTGTCCTCCAAACTGAGCCATGACAAAAGGGGGGGGGGGACCTTTGCTTGTTTGTCTTCTACAGCAGCGATCTATTAAGAAAGGATCCACAGTTTAAAGTCCAACGAAACTGTTAAGTATTACGAAAGTATTATTTTAAAGAAACGTTCGATTTATCGAGGACATCGTAGATCAAGTAAAAATAACTAGACGCTTATAACAGTCCGATATGCAGCAAAAACATTTTACATCAAGTAGTACACCGAAGGCACCCAATTTCAATATATAACATTAGGGACAGACTTACAAGAAAGGCACCTCTTTCTACAACTACATACCATCACATTTAAAAAGAAGACCATCTGCTGTTATCTACCTAATTTTTAATAAGAAGTACACAGTTTTACATTCAAAGGAAATATATAGCCTGCCTGTTTCTTTCGGCAATGAGCCGGGGATTGAAAGTGACGAAACCAATAACGGAAATCGGGACGAGACACCGAATAAAATTATTCGAGAATATTATTTAAATAACAAACATCTCCTTACTTTCTAGAGTAGGGAAGGTACTGGGGGCTCGGGCTCCTTTTCTCTCCTCTCCCTCGAGGGGAAAAGGCTGTTGAAATAACGGATGCCCCTAAAAGAACCAACGCGAAGACCCCTCCCCCCAAAATCAAGCCAGAAGTAGCGAAGATCTCTGTTCGCACACTCCCTCCTTCCCCCCACGCCTCAGAGGGGCCAGAGCTCTGCCATCCATCTTCCTCCAGCCCCAGCTCCTCGCGGGCCGCAGGCCAGGGCAGGCAGAGTCCTCCATCGCACGAGTCTGGACGAAACGCCAAGATGAGGATACCGAGAGCCCTGGTCCCCTTAACCCCCTCGCGGAGCGGAGAAGGCTTCCATTCCCCCAAATATGTGCCGCCCTGTGCGGCCCCGACGCCCCAGACCCGAGGCCAGGAGGCTAAGCCCGCAGCGGCTCCGGAGCGAGGGACGGCGGCAGGCAGTCCCTCCCAAAACGCCAGGCCGAGGCTGAGGGACGCTGGAGGCACCTGAGGGGCCGCGGGGGAAAAAGCGAGGCGGTGGGGGAGGGGCCAGCCGCGCGGGGCCTGCTCCGACCCGCACAAAAGGGACCATGTCCCTCCCGTCCCAGTCCCGCAAGAGCCCCACCGTCGCCGGCCTACGGACGCCGTGCTACCAAAATGGTCGCTCCTGGCCGTTTGGCGGATCCCACAGGACGTTAAGAACCCGGGCTCGGACGCCCGCCGCTCCAACCGCGAGGACCAGACCTTCACCTGAATCCGGGCCGGGATAACCCCGAAGCCATTTCAAACCCGTCAGCCTTAAGCGCATGCGCCAACTCCCCCCTCTTCCTCCACGCCTCTCCCCTCCTCCCCATCTCTCCGAGGAACGGCGTTTACGGGAATACGTTCTACGTGCGCGCTCCCAGCTCGCCTTCAATGCGCTCACCCTTTTCAGTACGCAGCTAGAACCAGAGCGCGCCTAAGAAGGGTTACCTGGGATTCGCTTAACAATGAGCCTGTGTGTGTCTCCGCGCAAGCTCAAAGGAAAAGGATTCCTTGAGAAAGGGAAGGAAAGAATTGGTAGTCACGTGATCCAACGAGCCCGCCGCCATTTTGTGTTTTTCTGCCTTTTTTCCCGTAGTTCAAGTGATAGGAAGAATGGTATATCCTGTGGTATTGTCCTAAATTTTTTGAAAAATTGGTATTTTCACTTAACATGACATTCATTCTTTAAAGTATTCTATATTGTACAATTTGGTATATTCATAAGGTTGTGTGTGCAATCACCCTTAAGAGAAATCCCTACCTATTAAGCAGTCAATCCTTAATCCCTGCTCCCTCCAGCCGGGGGCCAACACTAATCTGTTTTCTGTCTATGGATTTGCCTGTCCTAGACATTTCATATTAATAGAATCATATAATACATGGCGTTTTGTGTCTAGCTTTTGTAAGTTACTATAGTGTGTCCAAGATTCATGTAGTAGCACCTATCAGTACTTCTGTTTATTTTATGGCTCAAACTAATTTAAAATACATTTGTTTATCCATTTGCCAGATCTTTGGTTTTTCTCCACTTTGGGGGCTATTATGAATAAAGATTCTATGAATATTTACATACAAGTTTTTGATCTTCTGTTTTCAATTCTCCTAGGTTTATACCTAGAAGAGGAGTTCTGGGTCACATGGAGTTCTATACTTAACTATTTGAGGTACTGCCAACCTCTTTTCACAGTGACTAGAGCAGTTTACATCCCCATGATTAATAAGGTTAAATATCCATGGAAGAATTAATACTGTTAAAATGGCCATACTACCCAAAGCAATCTACAGATTTAATATGATCCCTATCAAATTACCCAGGACATTTTTCACACAACTAGAACAAATAATCCTAAAATTTATATAGAATCACAAAAGACCCAGAATTGCCAAAGCAATACCAAAGAAAACGAATGAAGCTGGAGGAATAACCCTCCCAGATTTCAGACAATGCTACAGAGCCACAGTAATCAAAACCAGCATGATATTGCTATAAAAACACACATATGGATCAATGGAACAGAATAGAGAGCCCAGAAATAAACCCACAAACTTCTGGTCAATAAATCTTTGTATCTTTGTTTTTTTGCTAAAGGAGGCAAGAACACACAATGGGGGGATAGTATAGCTCAAGTGGTAGAGTGCATACTTAGCATGCAGGAGGCCCTGGGTTCATTCCCCAGTACCTCTTCTAAAAATAAACAAATCTAATTAATTACCTCCCCCCAAAAATTAAAATTAAAAATTAAAAAAAAACACACAATGGAGTAAAGGCAGTCTCTTCAACAAATGGTGTTAGGAAGACTGGACAGTTGCATGTAAATCAATTAAGTTAGAATACTCTCTCATACCACACAAAGAAATAAACTCAAAATGGCTTAAAGACTTAAACACAAGACACTATAAACCTCTTAGAAGAAAACACAGGCAAAATATTACCTGACATCCTAGCAATGTTCTTTTAGGGCAGTCTATCAAGGCAATAGAAATAAAATAAAAAAATAAACAAATGGGACCTAATTAAACTTAAAAGCTTTTGCACAGCAAAGGAAACCATAAGTAAAACAAAAAGACAACCTACAGGATGAGAGAAAATATTTACAAAAGATGAGACTGACAAGGACTTAATGTCCAGAATATATAAACAGCTCATACAACTTAATAAGAAAAAAACAAACAACCCAATCCAAAAATGGGCAGAATACCTAAACAAGCAATTTTCCAATGAAGACATACAAATGGCCAATAGGCACATGAAAAAATGCTTGCTATCACTAATTATCAGAGAAATGCAATCAAAACTACAATGAGGTATCACCTCACACCAGTCAGAATGGCCATCATTCAAAAGTCCACAAATGATAAATGCTGAAGAGGGTGTGGAGAAAAGGGAACCCTCCTACACTGTTGGTGGGAATGTAATTTGGTGCAGTCATTAGGGAAAACAGTATGTAGATTCTTCAAAAAACTAAAAACAGATTTACCATATGATCTAGCAATATCCAGAGGCAACTGTAATTTGAAAGGGTACATGCATCCCAGTGCAATCATAGCAGCACTATTTATAATAGCCAAGACATGGAAGCAATCTGAATGTCCACTGACAAATGACTGGATAAAGAAGCTGTGGTATAATTTATATAATGGAATACTACTCAACCATAAAAAATAATAAAATAATGCCATTTGCAGCAATAGGATGGACCTAGAGATTGTCATTCTAAGTGAAGTAAGACAGAGAAAAAAAGACCATATGATATCACTTATATGTGGAATCTAAAAAAAAATGACACAAACTTATTTACAAAACAGAAACAGACAGACATAGAAAACAAACTTATGGTTACTGGGGAGAATGGGGGTGAGGAAGGATTGTGAGTTTAGGATTTGCAGTTATTAGCTACCCATATATATATAATAGATGAACAACAAGATCCTACTGTATAGTGCAGGGAACTATATTCAATACCTTGTAATGACCTATAATGAAAAAGAATATGGAAAAGAATATATATGTATATATAATTGAATCACTATGTTGTACACCAGAAAGTAACATGATATTGTGAATTGACTATACTTCAATTAAATAAAGTTAATTTTACCTGTTTCATTTTTACTTTTTAAAGTGTGGCTATACTAGAAAAGTTTTTTATAATTTTTAAATTTTTTAATATTTATTTTTATTGAAGTATAGTTGACTTGCTATATTGTGTTAGTTTGTGGAGGATACTAGAAAAGTTTTAACTACAAATGTAACTCTCATTTGATTTCTATTGTATAGTTCTGTTCTATACCTTGATTGTCATGGTGGTTACAGGACTACAGACATTTGTCAAAAACTTATGGAACTCATGTAAAGGGAGAATTTTACTGTATGTGAATTACATCTCAATAAACATAACTTTAAAAAATGTTTTAAAGAAAATAAAAGATATTTCTGAATGACACCTGTCTCTGAATAAGTTCTGAAGTTTTCATTCTCAGTTCTATAAATTAGCCTACTAATAAATTTGATGCCTGGCAAGGAGAAAGAATTTTCATTGATCTTTGGCCAAATATTTTTCTTGCCTATCCAGAAAGGGCTGATTCAAAAGAGGATGGAAAGTGTTGGCAAGAGAATGATTGAAATGAAGAAATAAACCAGATGTAGAGGGAAACTTTGCATAGGAAGAAAGAAAGACCAATGGAAGTTCTAATGAGGTAGAAAAATTATCATGGGAACAACTGACAGAACAAACAGTACAGATAGGTGGTTGAGGTTGTGATGTGAGATGTTGGAACTAATGATTTTGGAAGTGATGATGTATTTCATTCTGTGACTGTGGGAGTAGGAGGCTCTGGTCAAGTGGGAGAGAAAGACCAGATAAGATCAAAGAGCTGAGTTGTAAAGTCGCTGGATGAGGTTTCACTCATTCAGTGAGGTTTCACTTGTTCAATGAAATTACTCAGAATTACCCAGAATGATAGCAAGAATTAAGGAAGGGAAGAATAACTTGTGTCAAGGGCAAAGTCATCAATAAGTGCAGAGTATTTAGGAAGATAATAGAGAAGGGGAGGCATGGTAGAGCTAGCTGGTGTGAATTTTATTTTATTTTTTAATTGATTTATTTTCTAAAGAAAGAAATGGAAAATTTTATTCAAGCCAAATTTGAGGATTATAACCTGGGAAGAACATTTCAGAAGGCTCTGAGAACTGTACCCACTGGTGTGACTTTTAAAAGGAGGACAACTGGGGACAAGAACATCCCCCACACTCACACCCAACCAGGGGTTGGTGCAGTGTAGAGATAAGCTTCTCCACTTATGAGGCTCCCAGTGTAATGATGCCCTTAGAGGAAAACCAGATTTCACTTTATATAAGGTAATAGAGCATGCATTTAAAGAGAAGATCAAGTTAAAGTCACAGGGAAATTGCTGATCACAGAGTGGGAATTTCAGAGGACTCCTTGAAAGGATGAGAAGGAAGGTGGGAGATGAAATGGTTTAGCCAGAAGAGATAGTACAGAGTAGTATGGAGATGACCATTCAGGAGGTAATAGTTGACAGAGGGGTTTGAACTTTGAGTGATGACCAGACAAAAGCTGAATGTGGTGCATGTTGCATTTAGTTCTGAGAGGCACTTGTAGGAGAGTTGGCTATCTGGCAATGCAGATTAAACTCTATGGTTGGAAGTGAGGCCCAGCCGATAGGACTGGGATCTGTATTATCTTGCTGTCAGTTGGTGTTAAAGCTGCAGGGAGAGTAGCTGTGGGATGTAGCCAGTCTTGCTTTTTCTGGCATTGGTTGACGTCTTCTGAGGGAAAAGTACATATGGTTTCTGTGTTCGAGGGACTTCATATCATTTACCATATTTTTAAAAACTGTATCATTCCACTGCTGATGGTCATCTCCAAATCTTATAGTCCTTTGTAGTTAAAAAGTGAACTTTATTGGATATTAGATTTAAAAAATATGATTTTGAAGAGGAAAGAAAAATTAGACTACTAGGTGCAAAATAG